TGATTTTTACAATGAGCACTTAGGAGTTAGCTGTGTAAGCAGAAAATAAACATATTCATTTTTCAAATGATCTCTTAAGAAAGAGTGTATTGGCCAGGCGCGGTGGCTCACGTCTGTAATCCCAGCACCTTGGGAGGCCGAGGTGGGTGGATCACGAGGTCAAGAGATGGAGACCACTCTGGCTAACACGGTGAAACCCCATCTCTACTAAAAAAACATACAAAAAAGTAGCGGGGCGTGGTGGCGGGCGCCTGCAGTCCAGCTACTCAGGAGGCTGAGGCAGGAGAATGGTGTGAACCCAGGAGGCGAAGCTTTCAGTGAGCCGAGATTGCACCACTGCACTCCAGCCTGGGCGACAGAGCAAGACTCCACCTCAAACAACAATAACAACAACAACAACAACAAAAGAGTGTATTACACATTCCCTCAAAGCAAGATTCAAACAGATCTATTTCTAACATCTTAAATAGAATAGCTTACAAGAAAGGGGTGCAGGCAGCGTCTTTATGTTGATTAACTTGAGGAATGTCTTAATTTAGAAAACTGTCATCATATAAAACTGCAGCAAGAAACAAATATAGGACATAGTGAAATAGCTTCTCAAATCAACGTTGTGTTCCTAAAGAATCCTTGTGGTGCCCATGAAAGAGATCCTGTGGTTTTAAAAAAAGCTCCTGAACTTACTCTCTGAGAAATTCATTATTTAGGCCTGTGTTTAAACACACAGGATATTATTATATAACTAAGCAGCTGGGAAGATTAATCGTGATTAAAAATAAAAGGGAAAACACAGTACACCACGGCAGGACTGTTTTCTTTTTTTTTGGTTTGGTTCGGTTTTGAGACAAAGTCTCGCTGTGTCACCCAGGCTGGAGTGCAGTGGCACAATCTCAGCTCACTGCAACCTCTGCCTCCTGGGTTCAAGAGATTCTCCTGCCTCAGCCTCCTGAGTAGCTGGGACCACAGACGCCCGCCACCACGCCTGGCTAATTTTTGTATTTTCAGCAGAGACGTGGTTTTACCATGTTGGCCAGGCTGGTCTTGAACTTCTGACCTTGTGATCCAACCGCCTCAAGCTTCCAAAGTGTTGTGACTACAGGTGTGAGTCACTGCAGGAAAACAGTATTTGTGGAGGGGAATAAAATGTCAACCCACAGACTTATCAAATAACAATAAAGACATTCTATCTCATATCTGATTCAAAAGGCACTGCTTATCTAAAGATATGATTACATTAGAAACATTGTAGATAATCTCCATTAGGATATACACAAAATACATGTTATGGACCATCCGTGGATAAGTAATTGTTTTCAAATTTCATGTCACTCTTAAAATCCAAACACCTTAATGTGGCCTATGATTTCCTTATCCGTCCAGCCTCACTTCCTCCTCACTCTGCTTTCCAGCTGTACTCAACAACCTGGTTTCTTGAACGTCCCATGTGTTGCCCAGACACCACAGCTTTGACACAGACTTCCAGTTCCATCTTTCTGATATCCAGTTTGTCCTTCACATATCAGACAGAACCCCAATTTACATTTCCTGAGAGCCCCCAGCCCACATTATACTACAGCATGTTCATTCGAACCACAAAGATTTTCAGAGCGGCAACAGGATCTACTTTAGGTTCTGGGTATACAAAGATAAATAAAACATTGTCCTATACTCAAGTAATATGGCTAAGTGAGGGAGAAATGTGTAAACAGTTAAAAGACAACAGGCATTTTGGGAGAAGGCACAGCTGTGCTTTGTGAAGTCAGCCTCAAATTTCAGATCCCTTGTTATTAATCTACCATCCACCGATTCTCCTGAACCATTGGTCACAAGCACAAGTATTTAGAGTAAGCAAGTAACATGAATGTTTGAGTCAGGCTGAGTCTGAGATAATAGCTCATGCCTGGACCTGTGGCCAATTGGAGAGGACACATCCTGTCTAAAACATTCAATTTCTCATTCTTTTTCAAATGCCATGCTTGCAAAACAAAATATGCCTGCAGGCCTCATTTGGTTCAGGCTGCCAGTCTGTCTTTTGTACAATAATATTAACGTGTGTTGTTTACTACATGTAGGTCACTATTCTAAGCACTTTACATGGAGAAATTCATTTATTCCTCACAACCACCACTGAGGTTGGTATGATTTTGCCTGTTTTACAAATGGAGCAAGAGGCTTGGGGTAATTTGCTGAGGTTACACAACTCTTAGGGTGGCAGAGCTGGGACTGAACCCACACAGATGGGCTCCTCTGGAGTTCATACACACTTTTTTTTTTTTTTTTTTTTGAGTCAGGGTCTCTCTGTCGCCCAGGCTGCAGTGCAGTGGTGCGATCTTGCTTGGCTCACTGCAACCTCCACCTCCTGTGCTCAAACAATCCTCCCACCTCAGCCATTGGAGTAGCTGGGACTACAGGCATTCGCCATTATGCCTGGCTAATTTTTATATTTTTTGTAGAGATGGGGTCTCGCCATGTTGCCCAGGCTGGTCTTGAACTCCTGGGCTCAAGAGATTCACCTGCCTTGGCCTCCTAAAGTGCTGGGATTACAGGCATGAGCCACTGCGTCCAGCCCACACTCTTAAAAGTACTTCACGTCACTGTACAATACTCTACTGCCCTGTAGCCAATAACTGTATTTTTCACCTTATACTACAGAATGAGTTACATATTTAATAATTTATTGTGCCAAATATTCCTTTTTGCTGTTGAACAAACTCTTAACTAGTATATACTGATATGATAGAAAAATGTATGTCTGCCTATCTATTTATTGTTCCATAAATTTAATCACCTTCCCATTCTACAAGCATCTTTCTCATTTGGAGAGTCTTAACTTTTAAGAAATAACTTTGTACTTACCCAAAAAATATACATTCATTATAGAAAAAAGTAGGTAAAATGAAGTATCAAAATTATTTTAATGCATTCCCTTATTGACTCTTCTCCCCTTCTTCTGGCCCATTTCCAACACCTTTCCCAATTCTGGACCTGTGTTCCTTGCAGGAACAAACAGTAGGACGTTTTGTTTTATTTTCAGTAAGGAACCATATAATGTTCACAACTCTAAGAATCTTTCTGAACAAGGCAATCGATTAAGCCAATGTCTTCCGAAAAGTCCAATTTATATGAGCTAAAACAAATCCAAGGGCACCTAGGGATTTGCTGAAATGGAAAAAATATAAACTCCCAAGTCTTTGATCTTAATTCAGTGTTTCAGTAGATCAGGGGATGTGGTCACTTTATTCACCAACTTTCCTAAGAACTCTGGACATTCTGTTCTTTTTACATAAGTAAGTTAAAGGCAAAAAAACCAAGAGTCTTGACATAGACCATCCATTCTGTTTCCTGGCCTTTGTACACACTGCTTCTTCAGCCAGGACCTCCCCACAAAAACGTCAACACTCCCTCCCCAAGCCCTGGGTCCTACCCAATCTTCCTGACACTATTTCTCCTCTGGGAAACCTTCTTTGACTGCCAAGCCGGTGAAGTACCCCCCCACACTGCCCCACCATATACACCCAGTGACCAGCACCTGACACCTATTTCAATTGTCTATTTCTCTCTCACCTAATTTGTAGTTGGAATTTATGTAGTAATTACCTTTTTTAACCTAATTTGTCTCTGAAACTTAAGCAGTAATACTTATTTCTAAAAATGTGTGCCTTTGAGCTTTTAAACTTGGCGGTTTACAATCTCAAGAATGGTAATAATAATAATAATAATAATAATAATAATAGGCTTTGGCATTGAACTAATGTGGATCTGGCAACCAGCTCTAGTACTAATGCCTCCATGACCTTGAACTTAACATCTCTGAGACGTTTTATCATTTGGAAAATAAAGGCCTACTTCACTATGAGGGTTAAAGCATAAAAGTGCAAAGTACACCACCTGTTCGAGTTTGTGTTCAATAAGTGTTAGCTACAGTTACATCTCTCAAGAATTCAATTTCATCAACAGGAGAGATTCAACCACAAGCAAAGAATATTGCCAATTGATTGAGAACTACCCAAAATTTATTTCATAATGATATGCAACTTTACCTACATTGAGAATAACCTGTAATTTATACTTAAAACGTTATCTGCTATCCACTTATTCAACATCAAAGTACATCTAAAATGGTTTGAAAATGTATCTGACTCCTTTAAAATACTCTAATAAGAACCCAGAGATTTGAAAAATCAAAAAGAATGCCAGCATCATCTAAGGGAGTATCTTTCACACCAGGAAATCAATAGTACAGTAAATTTCACTGATAAAGACTCCACTCGAATCGCTACATTGGTAACTTTACTTCATCCAAATCTGTAAGCATCAAATTTAAAATGGTTTAGAAAGTATTTTGAAATTATTTACTTAATAATAAATCGGCTTCTGAGCCAGTAAAGAATCCACTAATCCAGTCACGTAATTCAACCCTCCTTTTAAGACCCTTAGAAAGGAAGCAAGAAGCTTAGATGACTGCTGCCAAATTTAACCTGGGAAGACCTGCAGATAATGCTTCCTAACAAACTCTCTGATGAACTTTTCAACCCTGGATCGTTCAGAATCCCAAGAGGAAACATGTCCCATTTCCTTGTATTTTCTTTTTTATTTTTTTTGAGATGGAATCTTGCTCTGTCACCCAGGCTTGAGTACAGTGGTGTGATATCAGCTCACTGCAACCTCCACCTCCTGGGTTCACGTGATTCTCCTGCCTCAGCCTCCCGAGTAGCTGGGATTACAGGCACCCACCACAACACCTGGCTGATTGTTGTATTTTAAGTAGGGATGGGGTTTCACCATGTTGGCCAGGCTGGTCTCGAACTCGTGACCTCAGGTGATCCACCTGCCTCGGCTGGGATTACAGGTGTGAGCCACCACGCCTGGCCCCATTTCCTTGTATTTTCATTTGAAGATAAGCTGAATGGCTCTCAAAAGCCATAGAATTAAAGAAAGGGATATACTTTCAGCATCAGTACCAACTAAGAGTCTACTAACATACAAAACCACATTGCACATTCATTCAACTATACGTTTATTAATTTCTACTTGCTCTCAATCAGAAGCCATTGTAGGTGTGTGGTGGGGGTGATGTCAAGATGATTGAAACAAGGTATTCTTTCATTCCAAAAGTTGTCTGAATTTGCAAAAATGTAACATTTTAAGCCACTCACAATTTAAGTAGGCACTAATTCATAGCTGATACCAAAGACTTAAATTGAGATAGAGCCCAATGGGGCAGGAGACAAGGCTACGGAAAATACAGGAAAAAGGAAACTGTGGCATAATCCTGGTCCTGAGAGTGAGATTCATTTAGAGTCAGATCGACCAGTTACCAGCAATGTAAAAAATTTTGGTTTTTCCAATTGGTAGGTATTTTATAAAAGTTTTATATTATTATTAATTATTATTCATTTCTCTTTGGGACAGGGTCTTGCTCTGTCACCCAAGATGAAGTACATTCATGTGTCACTGCGGCCTCACCCTCCTGGGCTCAAGTAATCCTCCCACCACAGCCTTCCTAGTAGCTGGGCATGCACCACCACACCCGGCTAGTTTATGTATTTTTGGTCGAGATGGGGTTTTCGATGTTGCCCAGGCTGGTCTCAAACAATTTAAAAGTTTGATGAGCAAAAATGTGCCTTATTTAATAGGCTTTTAGGAAAACCAAATGAGAACACTGATGAAAGTATGCAGCACAGTGCTCATCACTGGGAAGCACAATGTATAGTGCAGAATGTACAGTATAAAGTGTAGCAACCCTTAAATGGATGTTCAATACAATACTGTTAATATCACTTATACAAACTTTGTCAATACAGTTTTGTTCACGACCATAATGCTGAATGACAGAGTGAGGCAGTGGGATTAATAAAAAAGCAAAAGCTTCCAGACCAGCCAGAGCTAAAATCAAATTAAGGCTCTAGCTCTTGCCAGCCACTCCGACCTTAAAGAAGTCACATTATTATCATGGATAAATTTTTACACAAGATTATAAAAATTAAATGTTAGGGCTATAAAGCCCACAACACATGACTGATCCTCCTCAAATATTAATTTCACTCTTTATGACCCCTAAGTAAATGCATCTTCCAGCTGTTCTGAACACCTAGGTTATAGCTGCTCAGCATGTAAGCCCCTATGATAACTTGAGCCCTTTCCCCTTTCCTTCCCCAGTGGTGAAGGGAGGATGACATTCCCTCTCCCTGCCCACTGGCTCGAGTGTGGCTTATGGCCTATGTACAGCTAAACCGATATTCCTGTTGGAGCTCCAGCTTCCAGGGACAGCACAGCAGCCAATGGCAGTGCCTCTGCCAGAATCTCAGCAGTCTTGGCACCCTAGTCCCACGGCAACTTCTCATCAATTTTGTGAGCTACTTGACATCCCATGCAATAAATTCATTTTCTCCTTAACAGTCACTTCCTGTTGTTCCTAAATAAGAGCCCTAACTTTTATAAAACTAATAGACTAGAATTAACATCAGTGCCATCAAATTATTTTAATATATTTTTCTCCATGACTGAATATACAAATATAATGGAAGTAATGTATTCTTCTGCTGTAAAGATGGGTGGAATATATCAAAATCCACTCGCCGAATTTTCTTTAGAAAGTCCTCTAGAGAAACCTGGAAAAAAGAGAATAGTAATCACCAGATCATAAAATGATCAAGACTTAAAAAAAAAAAACTAAAGAATAAACACAAGTGTTTAGGCTATTTTAGTTTCCCTGAGATGGTTTTCTATATAATAAGAATTTAAGTGAGAATTTTAAAAGAGAGAAAGAAAATAAAAAGGCATCTAAGAAGCTTCTACTAGACCAGTAAAAGGGTATCACAGATCTAGTACTAGAAAAACCAAGCCTCTTCTGCTCATAATATAAAAACTTTGGTCAAGACACAAAGGATTAGCAAAATCATGTTTCCCTGGACTTATTACTAAATTCAGTGGAATGCAAAAAGGCTGTTTCAATCAGGGAAAACGAAACATCCCCATCCCGAACCCCCAGATGTAGTGTACTATGAGGGGTAGCTCAAGTTGTCTTTTAAGACATTATTTTGTGAAGAAGCCAAACAGGTGTCCACGTTGTTGCTAGAGTACATGATTTTCAACCAGGCAAAATTATCACCCCATCCTTTCCCCACCACAAAAACAAAGTTTTCACAAGGATAACAGCCGGATAGAAAACACCAATGATGTGCAGTATCTTTGCATTTTGGTTGTCAATTGTCTTGATTAATTTATAAATTTTTATTTTAATAACATTTTTGTTAAACAGGCAGGTCACTTAGTTTTGTGCTCCACCTTTCTAAGAGGCACCAGACCTCCTCAGTCCACATAAGCAGCGCCCCCTAGAGTTCTGCAGCACAGAACCTGGGTGATCAATGCAGGGATTATGCCTACAGATTCTGTAGAATATGCAGATAAGAACAAAGAAAACCAAAAATATTTTCTTCCAGACTTTTTTCCCATACTTTTATAAATATAGGAGTGAAATACAAACAAATTCATTATCTACTTTTTAAAACCCTAAACTTACATATATAGACAACAGAAGACATATGCATCAATGTGCCCAGTTGCCTTGTTTTATATTAGCAAGAAACTTAGAAATAATCCAGAGACCAGGTGCGGTGGCTCACGCCTGTAATCCCAGCACTTTGGGAGACCAAGGCAGGTGGACTGCTTGAGCTCAAGAGTTCAAGACTCGTCTGGGCAACATGGCAAAACCCCATCTCTCAAAAAATACAAAAACAATTAGCTGGCTGTGGTGGTGCACACCTGTAATCCCAGCTACTTGGAAGGCTGAGGTGGGAGGATGGCTTGAGCCTGGGAGGTCAAGGCTGCAGTGAGCCTGCACTCTAGCCTGGGTGACAAAGACCCCATCTCAAAAAAAGAGAAACAATCCAGAAATTCTTTGATCTAAAAAAAGAGGAATCATTTGTGCAATGAAATATTAATATTATACTGCAGTGAAGTGAATGTACTACAGGTAGATGCAGTAATAGGCAGTAATATGCACAAATCTCAGAAACATTAAGAGTGTGCACATGTCCTAGAAGACATAAATAGAAAATGATCCTTTTTTATAAAGCTCAAAAACAAAACTAAGCAATATGTTGTTCAGGAATATATAAAATGATGAAAGCCTTCTTGGAATAAAAGGAAGGAAATAATACACACAAAATTGAGGAGAGCTACCTAAAAATAAAGGCAGTGGGCCGGGCATGGTGGCTCATGCCTGTAATCCCAGCACTTTGGGAGGCCGAGGTCAGGATCACGAGGTCAGGAGATCGAGACCATCCTGGCCAACACGGTGAAACCCCGTCTCTACTAAAAACACAAAAAATTAGCCAGGAGTGGTGGTGGGCACCTGTAGTCCCAGCTACTCGGGAGGCTGAGGCAGGAGAATGGCGTGAACCTGGGAGGCAGAGCTTGCAGGGAGCCGAGATCGCGCCACTGCACTCCAGCCTGAGCGACAGAGCAAGACTCCATCTCAAAAAAAAAAAAAAAAAAAAAAAAAAAGTAAGGCATTGGCAGGGGAATGAGATGGGAAAAACGTAAGTCCAATTTAATGGTGACATGCTAGTTCCTGGCTTGAGTGGTAAGTTCATGGTGTTTATTATGCTATACATTGCAATATATATACCTAGACAGATATATTCATTTAATATATAGCAAATATTAACAATTTTAAAACAGAATAAAAGAAAAAACTTTGAAAATATTTCAGTGCACTTTCTTTCACATGTTCTCTTGGTTTTGAAAATATTTTAGTGTACTTCCTTTCAGATGCTCCCTTTTTTTTGGTAAAAAAAAAAAAAAGCTCATGCTATTTCATGTTCTGTAACTTGCTTTTTTATCCCTTAATATACTTTGATCAACTTGCTATCTGTAAGAATGTTAATTTTAATAGCGTTATGATATTAATTATAAGGAATAGTTAACAAAACTAAGGTACAGACACATAATAGAATATTATATAGCCATTAAGTGTTAATTTATAAATTTTTTAAATGATTCAAAAAATGCTCAACAAACAGTACACTAACATATGAAGTATAATTTCAACTATACACAAAAATTCATTTCCAAAAACCCCAGAATGACTAGCAGTTCTCTTTTGGTGTTAGAATTATAGGTAATTTTTTTTTAATGGAATACTTCATGAATTTGTGTGTCATCCTTGCGCAGGGGCCATGCTAATCTTCTCTGTATCTTTCCAAATTTAGTATATGTGCTGCTGAAGCAAGCATGGGTGATTGCTATTTTCTCCTAATACTGTTTATATTGTCCAAATCTTTACTATGAAATGTATTGCTTTTAGGATTAGGAGAAAATTCCATTAGAATACAGAGCAAATGTGACCTCAAAATCAGACAGAACTCAAGTGGATATTTTTACATCAGGCTTTGGTTCAAAGGAAAGTCTGGCTAATGGTAAATAAACTGAGTAACAAATTGATTGTGAAACTCTCAAAGACATTACAAATTTCTGAATATGAATTACTGAAACCTCATCTATGAAGAATATACCATACCTAGATTAGTCATGTTCAAAGAGTTTTAAACTGCAAATCCTTTCCTTGAACAAAATAATTAACAGATGCCCCAAATATAAAACAAGTAGGAGGCCCTGTCCAAGCTGGAATGAGGGTGTATGACAGAAGCAGTTCCTCAGGAATTGCCACGTTGCCACTCTAGTCTCTCTTGGCACAGGATAGAAACTAAGAGCTGGGGCTGAGCACAGTGGCTCATGCCTATAATCCCAGCACTGTGGGAGGCCAAGGCGGGTGGATCACCTGAAGTCAGGCATTCGAGACCAGCCTGGCCAACATGGTGAAACCCTTCCTCTACTGAAAATATAAAAATTAGCAGGGCATGGTGGCGCATACCTGTAATCCCAGCTACTCGGGAGGCTGAGGCAGGAGAATTGCTTGAACCCCAGAGGCAGAGGCTGCAGTGAGCAGGGATCATGCCATTGCACTCCAGCCTGAGCAACAGAGCAAGACTCTGTCTCAAAAAAAACCAAAAAAACAAAAAAACAGAAGCTGAGAGCTGGGCCCCACCCCCAGAGTTTCTGATTCAGCAGGTCAGTGGTGGAGCCCAAGATCTGCATTTCTAACAAGTTCCCCAGTGAGGTGGATATTGCTGGTCCAGGGACCACATTTTGGGAACCACTGGTCTATGACAGTGGTTTTTAGGCCTAGCCATATCTTACAATTAAAACTAAAGGGGGCTGGGCACGGTGTTTTATGCCTGTAATCCCAATACTTTGAGAGGCCAAGGCTGGAGGATTGCTTGGGTTCAGAAGTTCAAGACCAGCCTGGAAAACATAGTGAGATTCCATCTCTTCCAAAAATAATTTTTAAAATTAGCTGGGTGTGTTGGTACACACCTGTGCTCCTAACTATTTGCGAGGCTGAGGTGGGAGGATCACTTGAGCCTAAGAGTTTGAGACTGTAGTGGGCCATGACTCCACCACTGCACTCCAACTTGGGCAACAGAGTGAGATTTTGTCTCAAAAAAAAAAAAAAAAAAAAAAAGGCCGGGCATGGTGGCTCACACCTGTAATCCCAGCACTTTGGGAGGCCAAGGCAGGCAGATCACTTGAGGCCAGGAGATCAAGACCAGCCTGGCCAACATGGCGAAACCTGTCTCTACTAAAAATACAAAAAAATCAGCCAGGCGTGGTGGTGCACGTCTGTAATCCCAGCTACTCAGGAGACTGAGGCCTGAGAATCACTTGAACCTGGGAGGCGGAGGCTGCAGTGAGCCAAGATCATAACCAGTGCACTCTAGCCTGGGCAATGGAGTGAGAATCTGCCTCCAAAAAGAAAGAAAAGTAAAAAGGGAAGCTTTTAAAAAGTATCAATGCCTGGGTCCACCAATTTAATTGGTCTGGGGCTGGGCAGCCAAGCATTGTTTAGGTCTTTTTAAAGCTCTCCAAGTGATTATAATGGGCATACAGGGTTGAGAACAACCTTTTTCCACAGAAGTTAATAAACCAAGTCCTTAACCTTTACGAAGCTTACTTAGTATGTTAAACAGCTGATGGTATATCCATCAACCACTAAACAGGGTGATACAGAATAATGTGTTGACATACACAAAATACACATATGATTATATGTATATGAAAGGTTCAGAAAGATGAACAGACATTCTCCCCAGATAGGGTGGAATTGTGTGAACTCTAATTTCTTCTTTTGTATCTCTTACACTTTGAAAATTTAAAATATTAATGTACTACTTTTATAATTAGCAAGCTCAATTAAGAAACAAAATGATTTCAAACACACAGACCTGAAAACTAAGATAGAGGATGTGAAGGGATCGAAATGAATCTCTAAGTATATTTTAGAGGAAAAAGGTAAAAGATATGTTCGGTATTACAGAAAACGTGTAAGTTTACAATTTTCAAAGATTACAAATCTTTGAACCTTGGTTTCTATCTATAAAATGAAGTAACCATATTTTTGCTAGGAAGACTAGGAATAATGATGGAATGACCTAACCCAGGGCCTGTCTCATAAAAGGTTCTAAGTAACTGGTAGCAATTATCACTTCTCTATGGAGATTTAGAACAACAGTTCCCAAACCTGTCTATGCATCAGAATCACCTGGGGAACTTTTTTTTTTTTTTAATTATACTTTGAGTTCTAGGGTACATGTGCACAACGTGCAGGTTTGTTACACATGTATACTTGTGCCATGTTGGTGTGTGCACCCATCAACTCGTCAGCACCCATCAACTCATCATTTACATCAGGTATAACTCCCAATGCAATCCCTCCCCCCTCCCCACTCCCCATAATAGGCCCCGGTGTGTGATGTTCCCCTTCCCAAGTCCAGGTGATCTCATTGTTCAATTCCCACCTATGAGTGAGAGCATGCGGTATTTGGTTTTCTGTTCTTGTGATAGTTTGCTGAGAATGATGGTTTCCAGCTGCATCCAGGTCGCTACAAAGGACACAAACTCATCCTTTTTTATGGCTGCATAGTATTCCATGGTGTACATGTGCCACATTTTCTTAATCCAGTCTGTCACTGATGGACATTTAGCTTGATTCCAAGTCTTTGCTATTGTGAATAGTGCCGCAGTAAACATACGTGTGCATGTGTCTTTATAACAGCATGATTTATAATCCTTTGGGTATATACCCAGTAATGGGATGGCTGGGTCAAATGGTATTTCTAGTTCTAGATCCTTGAGGAATCGCCATACTGTTTTCCACAATGGTTGAACTAGTTTACAGTCCCACCAACAGTGTAAAAGTGTTCCTATTTCTCCACATCCTCTCCAGCACCTGTTGTTACTTTACTTTTTAATGATTGCCATTCTAACTGACGTGAGATGGTATCTCATTGTGGTTTTGATTTGCATTTCTCTGATGGCCAGTGATGATGAGCAGTTTTTCTTGTGTCTATTGGCTACAGGCATGTCTTCTTTTGAGAAATGTCTGTTCATATCCTTTGCCCACTTTTTGATGGGGTTGTTTTTTTCCTGTAAATTTGCTTGAGTTCTTTGTAGGTTCTGGATATTAGCCCTTTGTCAGATGAGTAGATTGCAAAAATTTTCTCCCATTCTGTAGGTTGCCTATTCACTCTGATGGTAGTTTCTTTTGCTGTGCAGAAGCTCTTTAGTTTAATTAGATCCCATTTGTCACTTTTGGCTTTTGTTGCCATTGCTTTTGGTGTTTTAGTCATGAAGTCCTTGCCCATGCCTATGTCCTGAATGGTATTACCTAGGTTTTCTTCTAGGGTTTTTATGGTATTAGGTCTAACATTTAAGTCTCTAATCCATCTTGAATTAATTTTCGTATAAGGAGTAAGGAAAGGATCCAGTTTCAGCTTTCTACTTACGGCTAGCCAATCATCCCAGCACCATTTATTACATAGGGAATCCTTTCCCCATTTCTTGTTTTTGTCAGGTTTGTCAAAGATCAGATGGCTGTAGATGTGTGGTATTATTTCTGAGGGCTCTGTTCTGTTCCATTGGTCTATATCTCTGTTTTGCTACCAGTACCATGCTGTTTTGGTTAATGTAAACTTGTAGTATAGTTTGAAGTCAGGTAGCGTGATGCCTCCAGCTTTGTTCTTTTGACTTAGGATTGTCTTGGCAATGCGGGCTCTTTTTTGGTTCCATATGAACTTTAAAGCAGTTTTTTCCAATTCTGTGAAGAAAGTCATTGGTAGCTAGATGGGGATGGCATTGAATCTATAAATTACCTTGGGCAGTATGGCCATTTTCACGATATTGATTCTTGCTATCCATGAGCATGGCATGTTTTTCCATTTGTTTGTGTCCTCTTTTATTTCACTGAGCAGTGGTTTGTAGTTCTCCTTGAAGAGGTCCTTTACATCCCTTGTAAGTTGGATTCCTAGGTATTTTATTCTCTTTGAAGCAATTGTGAATGGAAGTTCATTCATGATTTGGCTCTCTGTTTGTCTGTTACTGGTGTATAAGAATGCTTGTGATTTTGAGACCCTGAAGGAAGCGCTAAACATGGAAAGGAACAACCAGTACCAGCCATTGCAAAAACATGCCAAAATGTAAAGACCATTGATGCTAGGAAGAAACTGCATCAACTAATGAGCAAAATAACCAGCTAATATCACAATGGCAGGATCAAATTCATACATAACAATATTTACCTTAAATGTAAATAGACTAAATGCTCCAATTAAAAGACACAGACTGGCAAATTGGATAAAGAGTCAAGACCCATCAGTTTGCTGTATTCAGGAGACCCATCGCACATGCAGAGACATACATAGGCTCAAAATAAAGGGATGGAGGAAGATCTACCAAGCAAATGGAGAACAAAAAAAAGCAGGGGTTGCAATCCTAGTCTCTGATAAAACAGACTTTAAACCATCAAAGATCAAAAGAGACAAAGAAGGCCATTACATAATGGTAAAGGGATCAATTCAACAGGAAGAGCTAACTATCCTAAATATATATGCACCCAATACAGGAGCACCCAGATTCATAAAGCAAGTCCTTAAAGACTTACAAAGGAACTTTTTAAAATCACAGATTCTCCTAGGAACTGGCTTCCTCCTCAATCCCACAAGTCTTTCTTAGTAAGAAGACTCCAGGAATCTATATTTTTAAAAAGTTTTCCAGGTTACCCCACTGCAACCAGCTCAGCAGTGGGCTATGAACCACTGTTCTGGAACCACTGCTACCATATGGTCAGGTCACAATGGAGAAAAAAATGAACAGAAGAGTAAGTAATACTTATATAGCTATAAGCAGCCTAACAATCCTACAAGGTAGTTTCTCTATTATTCCCATTTCACCTAAGAGTAAACTGAGGAATGTGGTTATTAAGGAACTTAAAGTCTCATTGCTAGTAAGGGGCAAAACAGATTCGAGCCAATGCAATCTGCCTGCAAAGTCAATGCTAAAAACTCAGCTCACCTGCCTCTGAGAAATACAGAAATGACCCTCAGCAAAAGCATCAGTAACTAATGAAAGCCACCATGAGGGAGGGAAACAAAAACAAAGGCTCCAAACTAAAGAAGTGCATTGGGAACTTTATAAAATATAAAAACAGATCATACACATCTGCTTCATTAATTATACAGCCTTCTCTGTTAATCTACTTACCGTCTGAAGAAAAGCAGGAAATGCTTTCACAGGAACACTTTTGTGAAAGGACCTAGCCTAAAAAGGAAGAGGAAAGGAAGCTGGTCAAAATTAAGCAAATAAACACTCTCACTCTGAAAGCAACACCAGCAGTTTAACAATATTGATAGGGCCTCTCTAAAATGCAAGAAAACAGCTCATCTCCTGTAGATTAAGATTAGTTTCCTAAGCCTAAAGGACTCAGAAAAAAGTAACTACTGTAGTAAAAATTCCATCCTTTCTTAGCCTTAGCATCCTTCTTGGCTTTAGCATCTTCCAGCTATCTTACAATATCTCATAATAACTTTGACTCCCCAGCTCTGTGGTAAGTGGGAAATGAAGAAATACTTGCATTACCAAGTCCTGTGCACCCCTAGCTTAGACTGACTTTATCTCCTATTTAAAGGAGTAAGATCCTCCTAGGTGATCTTCCTGTGTTCCCTGACCTTTAATTCATTCCACACAGCCAGACAAATTAATGTCTTTACATCATCATTTCATTTTTACCTTCTTTAATTCCCTGGTAGGTCGTTTCAACAATTCATCCAGGAATTCCAAGGCCTCCACATCTTGACTCTAACCTCGTCCATCTAACCTAACTCCCTATCACTCTGGGCTACGAACACCTGGTCACTCAGGCTGATGCCCATCATCCTGTATTCACCAAGCCCACTCTTGTCTCCATGTCTTCATTTATATTTTCCCTAACACAAGGAAGAGCCCTCTACTTCCTGACTCACTTCTTAACCCATTACACTCCAGTTTGACCCCCAACCATCCTCTAAAATTACTCGAAGATCATCCATGATTTACTAATCACCATATCTATCTTTTCTCTTCAATCTCTCTGCAGCATGTAAAACTCTGATATTCCCCTTTCTTAAATCTTCTCCTCCCTTGATTTTCAAGACACTGGCTCTCAGTTCTATTTCTCTGAACATTCTTTCCTTTCCCTTCTTCCTAATAAATGGCCCTTCTCTTTCACCTTGTAAACAGAGGTAGGCCTCGGGGTTCTGCCCCTGGTCCTCTCCACATTCTTCTTCAGCAACACCATCCAAACTTGGAGCTTTAATTATAAGCCTTTTATGTGGATGACTCTCAAATATATCATCTTTAGTCCTGACTTCCTTCAAAAGTCACAATCCTGCATTCTTCAATAGCCCATCTCCCTCTAATCCCCTCAAATTCAATTATGTCCAGCAGCTAGTCCAAAGTCTAATGATCTGCACCAAACATAGCATTAGTTTCTGCTGTCACTGTAGCTTTTGAATGGCACCATCAAAGTGCCATACTTGAATTCTACATGCAACCTTCAACTTCCCCTCTATCTGATCTTGCCACAATCCAATTAGTTATCAAGCCTAGTTGATTCTACTTGTTATGTGTGGGCACGTATGTATACGTATATATATAAATGTACATACACATACATAAACATCTACTGTCTCTAAATCATACTCTTTCTCTCTCTCCTAAGTCTCCTAACTGATCACCCAACTTCTAAACTCTCTTGTGTCAAACACTGCTAGCAGGGTTTCCTACTCCGCAACACTCATATCACTGCTTTATTTGATGATGATGATGAAAACTAACATATTTCATGTACAATATGCCACACTATGTTATAAACTCTTCATATATGTTAACTCATTTATCCAAATAACCCTTTAAGCTGGGTGCTAAAATGATCCTCTACTACAGATGAGGAAACTGAAGCACAAAGAGGTTAAGATTACATGATTAGTAAATGGCAGAATTAGGATTTAAAGTCAGGCTTCTGGTTCCAGAGTTTGCACTCTCATCCACAATGCTCTAATGTCTCTCAAAAGCCTCTACAACTCCATAATCTTTCTTCAATCTGCCATTCCAAACCTATCTTCCAGGACCACATTTCACATAACCTATACACCAGTGGTGTTCAAACCTGGCTGTTTAATTAGAAATTTAGAAATTTTAATTCCTGGCCCCATCCCAGATTTACTACCCCAATCTCCAGGGAGTGATGCCTGGGAATCGGTATTTCTCAGGTGCCTTATGTGTCCATTGACTGGGATTGCTTAGGTTCCACACAAAGCTTTCCTGCCTTTCATGATTCTGCAGTGTGCTCAGATCTTACCCAAAACTCTGCTAGTTAGTCCTAAGTAATTTCTCATCTAAAGTTCCATGTATTTTATCTATACCTCTGTCAGGGCCGAGAACTGTCTTAGATATTCATGAAATTAAAAAGAAGCTGAAGATAGTCTTTGCCCTCAAAGAGCTTACAATCTGATTACTTACATATTTAATATTTCACAAATATTTACTGAGTGCTCATAATGTACCAGGTATTTTAGATGCTGAAGAATATACAATAGAATCAAACAAAGTCACTTACATTCCAATGAAGTGGGAGGCAATAAGCAAACTTTTAATGTCAGGTAATGAAAAGCACTAAGGCAGGTAAGGAGACTGAGGGTGATGGAAAAGGAAGATGTTATTTTAGGTAAGATGGCCAGGGAAGACTTTTCTGATAGGGTGACATTTGAGCACTAACTGGAGTGGAGGTAGGGTACAGGGGAAGAAGCAGGAAAAACAGCAAGTGCAAAAGCCCTGTGGTATGCAGGTACGTGTCCAACTCTTTAGAATCTACTGAAGCCTAAGAAAAAAAAAAAAAAGGTTCACAAGAAGTACTAGGAAAAATTAGCATTATGGGAGCTAAGGAAATAGAAAGTTTCCACCAAGTCTTCAAGAGCCACTGAAATCAAGAAACACTTCAAGGAGAACCAGAAAGGAATAACACCATGGAGATGAATGACAGACAATTTCAAGAAAGAGGAGCACAGTCAACAGTGTCAAATTCCAAGCAAAAGTCCTGGAAAAGTTTGAGAGATGAAGAACTAACTCTTAGGGAACAACTAAAGTGACAGGCAGGAGAAATCAGGAACCAGTCCAGGAGCCAAGTCCGAGAATCAATGGAAGAAAAGTCAGAAAGTGACACAGAGAAAAAGAAGTCTATGGTGTCGAAAAAAGAAGAAGAGTTCACAAAAACAAATTGTAAGTGACCATTGAATTTGGCAATAAGGAGAATTGCCAAACTAGTGATTGTTTATTAGAATGGGCAGGATAGGAACCAAATCACAACATGATGAGCAGTGCCAAGGTGGAAAGGGCCTGAGGTAACAGTGAATGCGGACCACTTCCTTCCAACAGTTCACCTAGGAGAGAAAAATACCAACAGAAGGATCTACAGGCTGCCTGTAAATTCAGAAGGCAGCAGCAACAAACCAGAAGATAAAAGAGGCCACCTATCAGAGAAGCAAACTGAAAACACCAGCTGGGAGTGGCTGAGGGTGCAGCCCCTGGGAGCGGGAGGAGAGGCTTCGGCCTTGGGAGGCAGAAAAACACCCTGTCTTCCAAGAGAGAAGTGGATGGAGCACAGAGGAGCCCACATGAGAAAGCTCGGGCGTGATTTACTCAGTAAAGAACGCATTCATTTGCTGTGAGGTGGGGGAAGGGACTTTTTTAAGTGAGAAAAGTTTATAACAGACTCTGAGATAAATCTACTGGGAAACCAATGAAAACTGGAATAAAGACGGCCAAGTTAGGAATACCATAACCATGTTCTAAGAATAGCCACATCTAGATATGATTATTCCCTAAATGATTTGGCAAAAAAATAAAAATAAAAAAAAGCCGACTTACATGCTTTAGGTGCAAATGTGCCTGACTGGCAATGTCATATATTACATCTCTCACATTTTTATCTCGGTTCCTCCGTAGAAGGTCCTCTTGTGAAACACCATGCTGTGTGGGGAAATATACATTATATTAGGAATCTAAAAGCACTTCCTTCCAACAGTTCACCTAGGAAAGAAAAATTAAATTGACAATTAAAACTAACTTAGCACAAGAGAACACATGACAGAACAGTACATACAGTTTAATGCCTATTTTGTCTTTAAAAATGTGTGTGTGCGCGTGCGTGTGTGTGCATGTATGGAGAGAGAGAAAAAAACAAGAATGAGAGAGTGATACTTGGAACATGCAACAAGATTTTTTGTCTTTTGAGACAGGGTCTTAATCTGTCACCCAGGCTGGAGTGCAGTGGTACAATCATGGCTCATTATAGCCTCAACCTCCCAGGCTCAAGGGATTCTCCCACCTTAGCCTCCTGAATAGCTGGGACTAGAGGTGTGCATCAACACACCCAGCTAAGTTTTGTATTTTTGGTAGAGATGGGGTTTCCCTATATTGCCCAGGCTGGTCTCAACCTCCCGGACTCAAGTGAGTCTCCCAAAGTGCTGGGATTACAGGCATCCGTCACCGCGCCTGGCCACAACAAGATGTTAATTAACAAGTTGTAGGTAAAGTGAAAATATACAAGCAAGAAAACAAACACACAAAAAGTTTGAAAGAACAGATAATAATGAATCTCATATAGAAAACAAAGTGCTCGCCGGGTGCAGTGGCTCACGCCTGTAATCCCAGCACTTTAGGAGGCCGAGGCGGGTGAATCACAAGGTCAGGAGATCAAGACCATCCTGGCTAACACGGTGAAACCCCGTCTCCACTAAAAATACAAAAAATTATCTGGGCGTGGTGGCGCGTGCCTGTAGTCCCAGCTACTTGAGCGGCTGAGGCAGAAGAATCGCTTGAACCCAGGAGGCGGAGGTTGCAGTGAGCCGAGATCACGCCACTGTACTCCAGCCTGGGTGACAGAGCAAGACCCTGTCTCAAAAAAAAAAAAAAAAAAAAGAAAACAAAGGTCTCATAAACAGATATTTAAAATGGATTACTTACTCCAATAAAATTAAATAAGGAACAGGCTAAGGTGAACACTAGGAATAATTAATGCAGTTGCTTGGAAGGGAGGAAGGCATCAACATGAAGCTATACCAAATGAGGTTCTCTAGACCTTCCTACTCAAAGCTCCTCCAGAGACCTAAAATGCCTGATGGACACAATTCTGACTTGATAACTCTGGGATAAAAAGAGGAAGAGCATTTTCAGTAAGCAATAAGCATTCCTTTCAAAGCAATTACTTGAATAGACTAAGCAAAAAAGCAAAAGATAACTTCCTTCCCCATATTCCTGAGGTAAATATTCAAAGGTACAAATTACAACCTTACCAGCATACAAATATCCATGGGAAGGAACACCTTTCTTCTGCTCCCATGATATGGTGTTGCTCTCAAGCAAGTGACAATGCCTTGCGCTTTTCCAATATGACTTGCAGCATGATCTGCATGAATGTCCTTTATACCTACGATTTCAGAAATTATACAGGGCTGCTCTATTCTAAGTGCATAATAAATCAATAGAAATAGCACAGAGAAATCAGCTAAATATGTAAAAATAGACATATATCCTATGTTTTATATCTGAAAAAAACAGGATTTATGAGTGAAAAACTGGGCACAAAAACAAGTTGACCATTTACCACTAGCAGATATCTAAACCTCAATCTCAACTTTTAAACGAGAGTTTTCCTCAGACTACAGCACACTAAGAACACATTTAGAATTTTAAACAGCTATAATGGAAAAACTTTACAAGTCTTCCATTTCTTCTCCTCTGTGCAATTTCCATATGACCTCATTTTAAGAATATGCTTAACAAACATTCTGCTCTTTGCTCCCTCCTTTCATTGTGACGGTAAACATGTCACCAGAGCTGAGGGCCAGAACAGGCCTGGGAGATGCAATGGGGACTTGTATTATTCTTTTAGGGAGGTATAAAGATATATATTACCTTCTTCAAATGAGATGGTATTGTCCTTGGCCCAAATAATTTCCTCATTTCAATAAGACCTCACTAACTGGCAACAAAGTCAGAGGAGAAATCCTACCATCAAAATTTTGTTTTTAAAAAAGCAGAGAAAGAAAAATCTCAAAAACTTTTATAAATGCAGTTTTAGGCTGGGCACGGTGGCTCATGCCTGTAATCCCAGCACTTTGGGAGGCTGAGGCAGGCAGATCATGAGGTCAAGAGATCAATACCATTCAGGCCTCGTCTCTACTAAAAGTACAAAATTTAGCTGGGTGTGGTGGCTCGCACCTGTAGTCCCAGCTACTCGGGAGGCTGATGCAGGAGAATCACTTGAATCGGGAGGCGGAAATTGCAGTCAGCCGAGATTGCGCCACTGCACTCCAGCCTGGGCACAGAGTGAGACTACGTCTCAAAATAAAATAAAATAAAGTAAGTGTGTTTTACTTCTACTTTTCTTTTTCCATGGATAAGTATTATTAACAGGAAAGGAAGAGTCAGGTTATAGGCCTTCCAAACTGTAGGAGATGCTATAGTAAAAAAGTAAAGCCACCTGCAATTACCAGAGTATTAATTTCAACATTCCCATGAGGTAAAGTAGCTGTATGAGAGCCTGAGTCTTGGATTACTCTGCATTACAAAGAAAGAGATATAAATTCCTCTTCTTGCTAACAACAACCACCACAAAAACTGTTCCTTTACAGATAGTACAAAGGAAGACTTCAGTGCTAAACTGGTCAGACTGCCAAATTATGAAAACGTGAAATCTCAAAGGTATTTTACTGGAAAAAAGAAGTACGAAACAGAAAAACAACTTACCCAATATTTCTAGTGTTAAGTAAAGAAGAGAGCTCTGTGTGTTTTCAGCATAATTTTCCAGTTCCTTGATATTACGATATGCTTTATCATCTAGATTTTTTTCCTACATCAAATAAAATGCAAATAAAGTCTGTTGAACTGTCAGTATTTTATAAAGAAAAGGTGCTGGTTTTTTTGCCCCAAAGAACTGAATAATAATGAATAAAAATATTTAGTATATGTTATTTAGTACACAATAAGATAAAACATTACAATATTAAAGTTCTACATATTCAATACTTTCAAATCCACCACCTCAAAATAAGACATCAGGAATAATATCAATGTACAAATCACCATGGACATGGCATTGTTTTTTAATTTCATCTGAAGCCCAAGTTATCAAAATAAACTGACTTTACTGAGCTCTTATGTAAGCACTTCAGACATTATCTTCTTAACCCAAACAATCCCCCCACTAAGAGATAAGGAATTCATACTTTCCCCATTTTACAAATGAAGAAACTGAGGCATGGATCCATTAACATGTCCAAGGACACACAGTTAATAAATAAATGGTGGGGACAGGAACCCACATATGTGCTCGTGAATCTACACAGTCAATGAGGAAAAGGTACCTAGAAAAAGAAAACAGAAACCAGTGCCTACCCCATCCCCCAAAAAGAAACCATGCTCAATAAAATAACAGGGTTGATTCCCTAAATACACTGTATGCAAGCAACAGAAAAATGAGAATCTAATAGCAAGAACACTTAGCCACTTTTATAATAATACATTTACAAAGATTATTATTAGGGCAAAATATTATCCCCTATTTCACCCTCTTTAAAATCAGAAGAAACTAACACCAGCATCAAATGCCACATGCAGGGTTTAAAAAAAAAGAGGCTGGGCAGGGTGGCTCATGCCTGTAATCCCAGTACTTTGGGAGGCCAAGGTGGGCAGATCACCTGAGGTCAGGAGTTCAAGACCAGCCTGGCCAACATGGTAAAACCCTGTCTCTACCAAAAATACATAAGAAGTCAGCTGGGCATTGTGGCGGGTGCCTGTAATCCCAGCTACTCGGGAAGCTGAGGCAGGAGAATCTCTTGAACCTGGGAGGCAGAGGTTGCAGGGAGCCGAGATCATGCCATTGCACTCCAGCCTGGGCAACAAGAGTGAGACTCCATCTCTAAAAAAAAAAAAAAAAGAAAGAAAGGAAAAAGAAAAGAAAATGACACCAGCAATGATTCCAGGAAAAAAAAAAATGCATCCTTTATGGTTTGTTAAATTCAGACATAACTAACATACCATAAAATTTATCCCTTCAAATAATACAATTCAGTGGTTTTTAGTATGTACACAAAGTTGTGCAGCTATCACTATTATCTAATTCCAGAATATTTTAATGACCCCCCAAAAGAAAACTTGCATCCATTAAGCAGACACTTCCCATTTCCCCCTCCCCTCAGTCCTGGCAAATCACTAATCTACTTTTTGTCTTCATGGATTTGTCTATTCTGGGCACTTCATAAAAATGGAATTGTATAATATGTAGCTTTTTGTGTCTGGCTTCTTTCAATTAGCACAATGTTTTCTTCATCTACTGGTACTTCATTTTTTTTAGTTGAATAAATTATTAATAATATTCTATTGTATGGATATACAACATTTTGTTTAACAACTAATTAACAGACTATGAGTTCTTTCTACTTTTGGGCTATCATGAATAATGTTGCCACAAACATTCATATACAAGTTCTGGGTAGACGTATGTTTTCATTTCTCCTGGGTATAAATCTAGGGATAGAATTTCTGGCTCTATGGTAACTCCTATGTTCAACTCTTTGAAGAAAAAGTTGCCAAACTATTTTTCCAAAGCAGCTGCACCATTTCACATTCCCGCCAGCAATGTATGAAAGGTTTTAACATCTCCCTGTTTTCACCAATATTTGTTAACATGCATCTTTTTTTATCACAGCCATCCCAACAGCTGTGAAGTGATGTTTCTTTGTTTTAATAAGCATTTCTCTAATGAAAAGATGTGAAACACCTTTTCAGATGCTTATTGGTCATTTGTATACCTTATCTGCAGAAATGTCTACTCAAAGTCTTTCCCCATTTTTAAATTGAGATTTTTTTATTGTTGAGTTGTAAGTTTCTTGCATATTTTAGATCATTGTCCCTTATCAGATATATAACTGGCAAATATTTTTTTCTTTTAGTACAATTTATCTACTTTTTCTTTTCTTGCTTGTGCCTTTGGTATCACATCTAAAAAACCATTGCCTAGCTAGGCGCAGTGGCTCACACCTGTAATCCCAGCACTTTGGGAGGCTGAGGCGGGTAGATCACAAGGTCACGGGATCAAGACCATCCTGGCCAACATGGTGAAACCCTATCTCTACTAAAACACACACACACAAAAATTAGCTGAGTGTGGTGGCATGCACCTGTAGTCCCAGCTACTCAGGAGGCTGAGGCAGGGGAATTGCTTGAACCTAGGAGGTGGAGATTGCAGTGAGCCGAGATGGTATCACTGCACCCCAGCCTGGCAACAGAGTGAGACTCCATCTCAAAAAAAAAAAAAAGAGAAGAAAAAGAAAAAAAAAGAAACTACTGCCTAACCTAAAAATCACTAAGATTTACACCTATGCTTTCCCCTAAGAGTTTCAGTTTTAGCTCTTACATCTAGGTCTTTTAATCTAGTTTGAGTTCATTTTTGTATATGGTGTGAGGCAGGGGTCAAAACTTATTATTTTGCAAGAGGTACCCAATTGTCCCAGCATCATTTGTTGCAAAGACTGTTCTTTCCCAAGTGAAATGTCTTGACACCCTTGTCACTCAACTGGTTATAAATATATGGGTTTATATCTGGACTCTCATTTCTATTCCATTGATCTATATGTCTACCCTATATCAGTAACACACAATTTGATTACTGTAGCTTTGTAGTTAAGTTCTGAAATCAGGAAATGTGAGCCCTCTAACTTTGTTCTTCTTTGTTAAGATTATTCTGGCTATTCTGGGTCCCTTGCACTTCCATATGAATTTTAGGACCAGTTTGTCAATTTCTGCAAAAAAGAAAGCTGGAATTTTGATAAAGATTGCATTGAATCTACAGATCAATGTTTGCTCACAGTTCTTTACTTTTAAATATCCCCCCTTCAAAAGCCAAGTGTTATTTTTCATTAAACTAAAATGGTGTCTCTGTCTTGGGTTCTCTAATTTTCTTCACCTTGTAAAAACAGAAAAGATGACACCTGAAAATAGGTCTTCTTAGCTAATATCTCTTTTTGGCTTCTTCTGATTATTGATACAGCCTATAGCTAGCAAACCGTATCTAAATAAACTAAGTAAACTTACATTTCCATGACAACAGCATGTAATTAATATCAGGCCAAGGGGAACACTGACCTAACAACGCATCAGAAAGGTCACACATGTTAGGCCATGTCACACAGCAATTCACTGACTTGGCTGGACCTAGAACTAAGTTCTAAGAATTTAGTACAGGATTCCATTCACTGGAACTGTCAGACTTTCTTTATGCCCTCTACTATTTAGACACAGATCCAAGTACTGGGGTATACATAAAGGTATGTGCATGACTAGTCAAGTATTTGATGATATTAAGGAATAATTAGTAATTTTTAAGGTATGATAATCATATTATGGTTATTTTTTGTCTTTATCTTTTTAAGATACATATGCATTTATAAATCAAATGATAAGATATCTGGGATTTTCTTTAACATGTCACCAGATATTCTACACATGCAGAGTATTCTCTCTACTTTTATATAAGTATGAAAATTTCCTTTTAAAAACAAAATTGTGGAGTGTGGCTGTGCATACACATGCCTCTGCCTGGGTGCCTGTCTCAATGTGAGGGTATGGGGGGCTGACGTATGTAACATGCAAGGGTAAAGTATGAATAAAATGGCATGGTTCTCTAAAATTTTCCATCCTCCAAAATATTAATATACAATCAAAATATTTCCTTCCTGAAGAATTAGCTTAAGAATTAAACAGGAAGAAAGAAAGAAAGAAAAAAATAAAATAAAATAATTAAACAGGACGAAAAAGCTTAAAACTTGAACAGTTTCGACTTACTCTTTCATCAACGATTTTCATAAGCCATCTTTTAGTCAGATTATGTCTTTTCACAGCCTAAAAGACAAAGAGTATTATAAGTTTTCAGAAAGTACTAGAAATGACTTCTGTAGAACTGAATAAAATAAACAAACCAAATACAAAACTAAGTAAGGAAACATTTGTAATAACTCATCACCAGATAGACAGCTATGTTAAAGAAATATCAAGGAAAAAGAAAACGTCCCTAGAAAATATTTCAAAACATTTACAAGATTATATTTCTAATATTTTTCTACTAACTTGTCTTTTTTTCCTATACTGCTAATAATTTAACAATTCCACTTTCAAACAAAAACAAAACAAGAATTACGCATCAAATACTGAACTTCTCTATTATATGATATACCCCGACATTTTATTTTTTTAAATTGTAGAGACAGGGTCTCACTATGTTGCTGGTCTTGAACTCCCGGGTTCAAATTATCCTCCCGCCTCAACCTCCCAAAGTGTTGGGATCATAGGCATGAGCCACTGTGCCTAGCCACCCTGACTTCTATGCTTACTCATTACACGCAAATTTTTTTCCACAGGGTAAAGATTCTATTTAGCAAAAGTAACCACTCCTCCAAAAACAGAGTAACTAAAACTCCAACAAAAATAATCCACATGGTAAATTGTTACCTTAGCAAGTAAAGACACTCCAGTAGGAAAGAGCTCACCTAGTGCTCAGACACTTGTCTCTACTACAATTCTCCTTAAAGGAATCAGGGCTCTCGAGAAATGGGTGATTCCAAAGGTGAGGCAAGGGAGAGATTCAAGAGGATCCTAGAATATCTTATTGTGTCAGAAAATAAGAAAGTGCTCCAAAAAATGATGGAAGCGTGTCACAAGGACATAGCAGCCACTGTGAACGAGTTCCCCCTGTCCAAAGCTGGAACAACCTGAACACCCAAATCAGTACATGAGTGAATTATAAACTGTAAAAAACAAGAAATCATGTGTCAACACCAATAATTAATAAACAAATAAATATAGGAAAATAAGAGCTCATTCTTATAGCAGAATGCTAAGTGCCAACTGGTAAATGTGGACCAAGTGCTGAGGTTGAGAAGTTATCATTTTGCAACCATAAGAGTAAAGACTGAATCAGACAAGAAGCATTAATGGCTACTAAGTTTAGGGAGAAATTTTGATGAGGAGGAGGATATTTACAGTCTTAAAATCTCTCCTCAAAAACTGTTGATTACTGCAAGTGGAATTACAGTGGGAAAACCAGGCAAAATTGTGACTAAGTAATAAAAATTAACAAGGCCATAAAGGACAGGTGGACGAAGTGTGCCCCTACATGTGATACTCTGAGAAGGACGTACCACCTATGAAGTATGCTGCCAGCTAAGAATCCATAACTTCAATCTAATCATGACAAAACATCAGACAAATCAAAAATTAGTGTTCTATTTTAAAAAGATGAGGTGGGGGGATACTCTTCAAAAATATCAGTGTCACAAAAGGCTAAAAAAAAGGCCGTGGAAATGTTTCAGATTAAAAGAAACTATAGAGACATGACAGTTAAGTACTTGACCCAAGATCAGATCCTCCACTGGAAGGGAAAATGATATTGTGGACATTATTAGGTCATCTGACAAAATTGGAATATGAATGGAAAATTCAATAAAATTGTTCTATCAAATTTAAATTTACTAAAGCCAGTAACTGTTCTGGCCGCGCACAGTGACTCACGCCTATAATCCCAACACTTTGGGAGGCCAAGGCAGGAGGATCACTTGAGTTCAGGTGTTCAAGACTAGCCTGGGCAACATAGCAACCTCATCTCTACAAAACATTTAAAAATTAGCTGAGCATGCTAGTATGTGCTTGTAGTTCCAGCTACTCAGGAGGTTGAAGGAGGAGGATAAAGCCCAGGAATTCAAGGTTGCAGTGAGCTATGATCACCCCACTGCACTCCAGCCTGGGCAACACAGCGAGATTCTATCTCTAGGAAAAAAAAATAGAAATTAAAAAAATAACTGTCCTTATTATATGTATCATTATTCTTAGAAAATATTAGGCCAGGCGCAGTGGCTAATACCTGTAATACCAGCACTTTGGGAGGACAAGGTGGGAGGATAGTTTGAGCTCAGGAGTTTGAGACCAGCCTGGGCAACACGGTGAAACCCCTTTTTTTAATTTATTTATTTTTTGAGATGGAGTCTTGCTCTGTCACCAGACTGGAGTGCAATGGCACGATCTCAGCTCACTGCAACCTCCACCTCCCCAGTTCAAGCAATTCTTCTGCCTTAGCCTCCCAAGTAGCTGGGACTACAGGTGTATGCCACTACGCCCAGCTAATTTTTGTATTCTTTTTTTTTTTTTTTTTTTTTGAGACAGAGTCTGGCTCTGTCCCCCTGGCTGGAGTGCAGTGGCGCAATCTCGGCTCACTGCAAGCTCCACCTCCCGGGTTCCTGCCATTCTCCTGCCTCAGCCTTCCAAGTAGCTGGGACTACAGGTGCCCACCACCGCGCCTGGCTAATTTTTTGTATTTTTAGTAGAGACGGGGTTTCACCATGTTGGCCTGGATGGTCTCAATCTCTTGACCTCGTGATCCACCTGCCTTGGCGTCCCAAAGTGCTGGGATTACAGGTGTGAGCCACCGTACCTGGCCATGAAACCCCATTTCTACAACAACAACAAAAAATTAGCCAGGCATGGTGGCGGGTGCCTGTAGTCCCAGCTACTTGGAAGGCTGAGATAGGAGGATGGCTTGAGCCCAGCAGGTGAAAGTTGCAGTGAGCCGAGATCACGACACTCCACTCCAGCCTGGTCAACAGAGCGACACCCTGTCTCAAAAAAACACAAAAAATAGGCCAGGTATGGTAGCTTACACCTGTAATCCCAGCACTTTGGGAGGCCGAGGCAGGCGGATCATGAAGTCAAGGGATTGAGAGCATCCTGGCCAACCCCCGTCTCTACTAAAAATACAAAAATTAGCTGGGAGTTGTGGTATACACCTGTAATCCCAGCTACTCAGGAGGCTGAGGCAGGAGAATTGCTTGAATCCAGGAAGCAGAGGTTGCAGTGAGCTGAGATCACACCACTGCATTCCAGTCTGGTGACAGAGCAAAGCTCCGTCTCAAACAAGAAAAAAAGAAATTATTAACCGAGGCCAGGCATGGTAAAGATTGAATCAGACAATTCGCTCACGCTTGTAATCCCAGCACTTTGGGAGGCCAAGGTGAGCGGATCACTTTAGCTCAGGAGTTCAAAACCAGCCTCGGCAACAAAGTGAGACCTCATCTGTACTAAAAATTCAAAACAACATCAGCTGGGTGTGGTAGCATGTGTCTGTAGCCCCAGCTACTCGGGCCTGGGAGATCAAAGCTACAGTGAGCCAAGACTCTGCCACTGTATTTCAGCCTGGGTGACAGAGTGAGACCCTGTCTCAAAAAAAAAAAAAAAAAAGAAAATATTCACTAAATTTTTTAGGTTAGGATTATGATGTATATAACTTATAATGAAATAAAATTTATCACGAAAAAATTATGAATGTGAATACACATATAGGGGAATAGGAGAAGGAGGAAAGGAACGAGAAACTGCATATGTGAGTGAGGAAAAATGATTAAACAAATGGGATAAAATATTAACAATAAGTGGGCCAGGCACAGTGGTTCACACCTGTAATCTCAACACTTTGGGAGGCCAAGGTGAGAGGATGGCTGGAGCCCAGGAGGCCAGGAGAGGCAACATAGTGAGACCTCATCTCTAGAAAAAAATTATTTAAATTAGCCAGGTGTGGTGGCACATGCCTGTGGTCCCAGCTACTCAGGAGGCTGAGGCAAGAGGATCGCCTGAGCCCAGGAGGTTGAGGCTGCAGTGAGCCATGTTTGCACCACTGCACTCCAGTCTGCTGAATCTGGGTAAAGGATATGGAGGTGTTTGTCCTGCTTTGAATTTCATAACTTTCTGAAAGTTTGGAATAATTTCCAAGTAAGTTTTTAAAATGTTTTTTTCCTGCCATGTCAACATTAAGCATAACATATTTTCACAATAAATAAATATAGTAGTGAAACATAAAATCTAGGGACATGCTACACTTCAACTAAGACTCCCAGATGTCACTGATACTAAATGTAAAGGCCAGCATGCTCATCAATATGCATTACATGACAAAGGTGTATGTATGGAGAACAGAGCCCACTTTGCCTGGCAGGAATCTAACAGAAGCTAAATGGGTTACACGGCTACTACTACATGGCAGGACTCTCCCCATAGGCCCCTCTTCCAAATCCCAGGAATCAGCCAATCAGTCATTACGGATTCCTGCTCTTGTTTTATTTTACACTTGTCTGGGCTGATGGGCATGTTTGATTTTGTAGACCTTCAAGCACCATTCCTAGCATGTAAAAGTACTCAATAAATATTTAATAAACGAAAACGCCAAACTCCTATTTACTCAAGGCTGACGCTATAATGGCTGTAGATTCTTGATTATAAAATACAGCTCTGATTCTGAAGGAAATCAGAGACCAAGGTAAAAAAGTAAATACTTTAAAGAAGTTAAATCTGCTGAATGAAGTGTGAACTCTGGAAACTGAAGCCAAATAGAATAAAGACCTTGGTTACAAACATAAATTCAAACTGCAGCTAAAATTCATACACAGAGAAATGGGGAACCCATATAGAATGGATAAGAAATTATAAATATTCAACTATCTTGTACCCTAAAAATAACAATGAAACAGTGCAACAGAAAAGTGCTCTCTGGATAACACATTGTCATTGTTCCATCTATTTAATCTCAAGAACCCAACACTTCAAATACCCAATATGCCCCATATGCTCCAGCAGGATGGGGAAGGATAGAGAACATGCAACAAGGACAACTGCACTGAACAAGACCTGCATCTTTCAGATACTCACATTTAGCATCAACACTGGTCACATCAGAAAGCCAGCCAACATTAACCATCAAAATTCAAGCAGCTATTAAAACTGGACAATTTACCAACCCTAAATTGGCACACATGTAAACATTTTGTAATTCAGATGTATCTTCTGGTTTTTTAAGAGAAGCCAAGGAAAGATAAATTTGCATCAAAGGACTCTCTAATCTTCCACATATTTCCTGACAAAGGCTAGAACCTTTTATGCAAGTCTTAACATAAACCTCCACCTCCACTATACTCCGGTTTACATGTAAAATAATAAATAGAAAGGGTTTCTGGATTTTAGGATAACTTTTTAGTGAGTCACCTAGGTTGAGCTTCTTGAAGTGGGATGAACAGAGGTAAAGAACTAATCTAATACTCACAGCTTCCCATCCACTTTTTCTTCTCAATCCCCAGTTGTGGGGGTCTGGCTTTCCATCTTTACTGGGGCTCTGTGAAGTCAATCTGGGGCCCAGAAACTGGGCCTGTCTCTGCTGGTGCGCAGACCTGAGAAGAGGTGTACCACTGTCAGGTCTGTGGGTGGCTCCTGTTACAGAAACCCTCTTCTGGCAATCATTGCATTACAACAGGGACACAGATCGGAGATAAAAGGTACCTAATTCCCTTCTTCCTCTCATAGTTTAGAACATTTCTAAGCCATGTGTGGCTGCTTATGAGTGAAGGATCCATACAGCTGCTTTACTATAAAACCATTTACGACATACATTTAGCTATACAAATAATACTCTAGCCCATAGGTTTCCATTCTCTAACACCTAAAACTCAACAATGGATAGGTAATTCTATCAAACTAGACAAGGCAAGTTTTAGATTTGTATCTGGACAACACTGAGAGTAAGTCTCCCATCACAAAAGATTAACACATGTTCTACAGCCCAGAACCTGGATTAAAACACTGGTATAAGGAGCTGCTGTTAGGCAGAGAGAACAGAAAATTTTACTTACTATTGCATCAAAATGTGCAGGATTTAAATTCTGCAGGCAAATATGGAAATGTAGAAAATACAAGTTATTATATAGAGACTAATTCTTCCTTTTTCCTTTAATAAACGAATACACAAAAGACCTGTGTAAATTATTAGTGGGTGATTTTAAATTTCTGTGCCAAAACTATAACAGCTCTGAATACATAAGCCTAAGAATATTTTCAGAATAGATTCCACTATAATCACCAGTACCCAAATTGTATCCATCAAAAAGTAGACTCGAATAATATTCTTACAAATCAAAAGTAGTAATTTTTTTTACCTTCCATAGTTCAATGGCCACAGGCTGATGTGGTGGTTTGTCACAGTATATATCTTCCACAGTTTTCTTCCAAAACTGTATTCGCATCAGTCCAATTGTTTTCTCAGAGACTGAGTCTTTAACCTACAAATAGGGTTTAAAAACTTTAGCAAACGCATTCTACTGTCTAAAAAATCAGTATTTTTGAGGGAATTTTTTTTGTTAATGTAACTGTTCTATATTATGACTATGGTGGCAAATACATGACTACATTTTTTAAAACCTATAGAAGACAACGAAGAGAGAATTTTACTGCATGTACTTTCAAATAAATTCATTTATTCATTTTTTAATCTTTTTTTAAAAAAAGAAGATTATTAGATTGTCTCCCTCACTCACTACTAAGAATGGCCTTCTGGCCGGACTCAGTGACTCACATCTATAAACCCTACACTTTGGGAAGCCGAGGTGGGTGGATCACCTGAGGTCAGGAGTTCAAGACCAACTTGGCCAAAATGATGAAACCCTGTCTCTACTAAAAATACAAAAAAATTAGCCAGGCGTGGTAGTGGGTGCCTGTAATCCCAACTACTCAGGAGGTTGAGGCAGGAGAATCGCTTGAACCCAGGAGGCAGAGGTTGCAGTGAGCCAAGATCACACCACTGCACTCCAGCCTTGGTGACAAGAGCAAAACTCCGTCCAAAAAAAAAAAAAAAAGAATGGCCTTCTTAGGTTGAGGCAAGAATCACCAACACAAGCTAAATCTAGGAGGTAAATTTGGATGAGGAATATGGTCTTAAAAGGTCTCCTCACAGGCTGCTTATTAGTAGCAAGGGAAAAAGGATTAACATCTTGACTCAGTGACTAAAATTAACATTACTGCTGGGAGTCAGATAGATATTTCATGCCTCCTTGTGACTCTAAAGAGGACACAGACCACTTACGTAATATTACTCTAGGAATCCATAAGTTTAATATGATCCTGATGAAAAATAAACCCCAAATGAGAACCATTTTAATTCTTAAAAGGAGCAATATTATTTAAAATATGTTAATGTCACAAAATGCAAAGCAAGGCTATGGAAATGTTCCAGAATAAAGGAGGCTAAAGAGACAGAAAACTAAATGTAATACATGATCCTAGATTAGATCCCATAGAGAAGGGGAAAAAAATGCCATAAAGGACCTTACTGGGTCAATTGACAAAACTGGAAACCAGATGGTAGATCAAATAAAAGTATTGCATCAATGTTAAGTTTATTTTCTCGTAAGTGTCCTGTGGTTATGTAAGAGATTATCCTTATTCTTATAAGATACACACTCAAGTTTATAGGGATAAGGGTCATGGTATCGTCAAGTTATTCTAAAATGATTCATAAAAAGAGAAATGTACATATACACATATGTGGATACAATGATAATGCAAATGGGACAAAATATTCACAACAGGGTCTGAGTATTGTTTGTACTACTCTTACTTTTCCATATGTGAAATTACTTCCAAATACTCTGGTGGTGGGTGGGTTTCTTAGCAATGTTTAGTGTTCAGATCCCAGTGGCATACAGTACAGCAAGACAGCAGCAAAAGTAATCCTTTCAAAATATAACCAAGAGGTGATGGCTCTCTGCTCAGAACCCTCCAGTGGCTTCCCATCTCACTCAGTCAAAGTGATTTTAATGGTGTCTCCAAGACCTTACCTTTCTCACCCAGGTGCCCCTAACTGAATCTCCTCCCACGCACCCCGCCCTGCTCTGCTGGACCACCTGCCTTCTTCTGTTCTTTGAGCAGGCACACTTGCACCTCAGAGACTGCACTTGCTGTTCCTTCTGCCTAGAAAACTCTCTGTCCACATATCTGTACAGCTCACTCCCTCACCTCCTTCAAATCTCTGCTCCAATGCCACCTTGTCTGTGAGGTTTCTCCTAACCATCCTACATAAAACAGGAACCCCTGGTGTACCCAGCCTTCACAGCCTCCTTATCCTGCTTTATTTCTCTCCATCTGACACGTTATACAATGATTTATTTGTTCATTGAGTGCAGACCCTGTTTCATGTCATGTGCATATAGCACTGAATACGGTCTATATAAAGTGCCTGCATTCAATCAACACTTGTTGAATGAGTGAATAAACAACACTCTGTGTGCAAAGAAGTAGCAAGATGTACAAAGTGTACAAAGAAGTACAAAGTGACAGAATTCAGAAGGACCTCTGGGGGTTTATTAAAAATAAAATCGTATTGACTGGGTGCAGTCGCTTATTCCTGTAATCCCAGCACTTTGGGAGGCTGAGGCAGGAGAATCACTTGGGGCTAAGAATTTGAGACCAGCCTGGACAAAATAGCAAGACTCTGCTCTAAAAAAACAAAACAAAACTGTTTTTAATTAGCCAGGTATAGTGGCACATCTACAGTTCCAGCTATTTGGTAGGCTGAGGTGGGAGGATTGCTTAAAGCCCAGGAGTTCAAGGTTACAATAAGCTGTGATCATGCCACTGCACTCCAGCCTGGGTGACCTGTCTGTAAAATTAAAAAATAAAAAATTAAATTTTAATCATTTTAAAAGGATAATAAAGACCAAGGTGGGAACTATTTATGGCTAAACGACTGATTTAACATGCTGATGTACAGTTTACACTTGAAAAAGCATGAGGTGAAAAATCATAACCCATGACTTCCAGGAAGATACCAGAGGAAAAAAGAGCCAGTCTATTAGACTTTCTGCAGACTCATAGTTGTGAATCTCAGTTGTGCCTCGGTGCCATATTCACATCCTTTTATTTGTTCCTTGTTCACTTCCTACTATATTCCCTGAGAATCTGTGTCAAAATTTGCTACTCTCTTTAAGACTCTGAACCCTCTCCTGCTCCCTCACTCCCAATATCTGACCTCTCAATTTATGACTAAGAAGATTAAGGTTGTTTCAGTTTTCACTCTCTCATCTCCATCCACCATTTCAATTTATTTTGTATTTGCACAGATTCTTTCTGTTCCTTGTTCATGTTCCTTCCTACTATATTCCCTGAGAATCTGTGTCCAAAATTTGCTACTCTCACAGGACTCTGAACCCTCTCTGCTCCTCACTCCCAATATCTGACCTCTCAATTTTATGACTCTAAGAAGATGAAGGTTGTTTCAGTTTTTCCTCTCTCATCTCCATCACCATTTCAATTTATTTTTGTATTTTTTCAGATTCTTTTCCATTCTAGAAGAAAAAAAGGATCTCTCCTTCCTTTGGAATTCTCTCCATCCACCATTTCAATTTATTTTGTATTTGCACAGATTCTTTCCATTCTAAAGAAGAAAAAAGGATCTCTCCTTCCTTTGGAATTCTTAGACAAAAGTGAATTAATATGATCTAAGGTCCTGGTTTGCTACAATTGCTTTCATTCCCTACTCACATTAAAGCTAAAACCTCAATTTAAAAAGTGCTTTGAAAAACTGCTATATACATGTAAATTATGCAATTGTTGGAAAGAATAAGCAGTAATTCTCTAACCTATTTAATTAACAGACAAATGTGCAATGTTAATGGCACAGTTTTATAATATCCTCAGGAAGAGAAATAAAAAATTCCAGAATAGCATTTATAGAACCATTAAGTTCATTAGATAGTTTTATTTTTGGTATTGAATTATTAAGCCTAAACAGTTAGCAGGGAAAAGAAATCACTAGCAGAGACCTTAAACACATCTAACATATAAATTACAACTATATTTCTTTATTGTTCAGCATTAAACACATTATATCACCATTTTCCAATTAATATTTTAAGGTATCTTAATACCAGCCTGAGCCAGTTCCACATTAAAAGCCCTCAGTGCAAAAACAGAGCTTCGGGATTCTGCAGGGAGCAGCAGGGAGCATAAATAACCTTCATAATCCCGTTTCCTGTAACAGACAGAAAAAAAAGACAGTTACTCTTCACTTTCCAAGTTGCACATAAAAATACTGACCAAAATTAACTGAAAACAAAAAGACTTCAGGTTGGGCGCAGTGGTTCGTGCCTGCAATCCCAGCACTTTGGGAGGCCAAGGCGGGCGGATCACTTGAAGCCAGGAGTTCAAGGCTAGCCTGGTGAAACCTCATCTCTACTGAAAATACAAAAGTTAGTTGGGCATGGTGGCATGTGCCTCTAATCCCAGCTACTTGAGAGGCTGAGGCCCGAGAACTGCTTGAGCCCAGGAGGCGGAGGTTGCAGTGAGCCCAGATTGTACCACTGTACTCCAGCCCGGGTGACAGAGCAAGACACTATCTCAAAAAAACAACAACAATGTGAAGCTTCAGTTCAGAAAGGGCCTGACATCTCTTATTTTTTATATCTGTTCCTTAAAAATTATGAAAAATGTACCCCAATGCCACCTAATCTCTATTAATTTACTTTGACTTATGTAGTACTTATAATTTTAACTGTTTCAGAATCACTTTTGTTTTAGTAAGAATTCAAATGAGCTTCAAAAGTACAAATCAAGTTAAAATAGTTCCAGCAAATATTGGGGTGAATGTATGGTTTTTAAGACACATAGATACATAGAAAGGCAGAGATAAGACATAGAAATTAATGGAGGACTGTGTGCACACATACATTTCCTTGCAACACCTGCTGAAAGAGCCTAGAAATAACAATACCCCCAGCCTCCACCCCATATTTCCAGTATTGGTGAACACACCTAGCACCCAGATCTTGGTTTCTGAAACCATTCTCCACTGAAAGAAACTAGGGCTCTGATATTTGGATATTTGTCTCCTCCAAATCTCATATTGAAATGTGACCCCCACAACATTAGAGGTTGGGCCTAGTGGGAGATATTTGGGTTACAGGAGTGGATCCCTTGTGAATGGCTTGGTGCCATCCCCTTGGGGATAAGTGAGTTCTCTATTAGTTCATGCTAGAGCTGGTTGTTTAAAAGAGCCTAGCACCTCCTCCCTTCTCTCTTTTGCTTCCTCTCTTGCCATGTGATATGCCTGCTCCCCTTCATCTTCTGCTGCAAGTAAAAGCTTCCTGAGGCCTTGCCAGAAGCTAAGCAGATACTGTGCATGCTTCTTGTACAGCCTCCAGAACCATGAGTCAAAGAAACCTCTTTTCTTTACAAATTACCAAGTCTCAGATATTCCTTTATAGTAATGCAAAACAGACTAACACAGGCGCCTGGAAGGAATGACTGACTTCATTCCTAGGGCAGGGAAAATAGAAGGTAAGTCTGAAACATCTTCTTGAGCAATAAGTAAAGAAATGTTTAAAGAATGGAGGAAACTTCTCAAAAGAACACAGAAACTGGCTTAACAGAGCTCTCACTGGCCAAGTCCATAGCAATTTCAGGATCAAAACATAATGATAGGGCCAGGCATGGTGGCTCATGCCCATAATCTAGCACTGTGGGAGGCAGAGCAGGGAGGATGCCTTGAGGCCAGGAGTTCAAGACCAGCTTGGACAACATAGTGAGACGCTGTCTTTACAAAACACTTAAAAATTAAAAAAATTAGCTAGGCATGGTGGCATGGGCCTGTGGTCCTAGCTACTTAGGAAGCTGAGGTGGGAAGATTACTTGAGCCCAGGAGTTCAAGGTTACAATGAGCTATGATCATGCCACTGCACTCCAGTCTACAGGAGATTCTGTCTCTAAAATAAATAAATAAATAAATAATAGTAACAATTTGAAACAGGACTCTATGAGCCTGTACCAATAAAAATTAATAAATAGGAAGAGAAGGAAAAACCTGACAACCAATACAATGACTACTATTAAATTTAGAAGACATGATGGAATTTTAAAAAATCACCATTTGATAACTATCATAGTATTAACTGATTCAGATAAAAATCATCAATAAATGCCCGAAAATGTTAAAGGGGTAAAAGTTTGATGGAAACAGAATATTTACATAGTACTGAAGTATCTCTCCACAAAGTGTGCATTTCTTGCTTATAATTAACATTCTTAATTAAATTTACAAAAAAAAAAATCTGGAAGTCACCTTTTCAACCACAGGTTAACATCATAGTAATAGGACAAATCAATGTCATGTGCTTCCTGATACGATATGGAGAGAAAAGCTGAGTGTCCCTTCTGTGATATTCCTGCCAAAAATGCATGTCATGAGAAAATACTAAAAACCCAAATCAAAGGAGATTTCTACAAAGGAACTGGCCTATTCTCTTCAAAAAAAATATCAAGCTCATGAAAGCTAAGACTTAAAGAATTGTTCCAGATTGGAGAAGACTAGAGAGATATAACTAAATGGAGCACATGATTTTGGATGTATGAAAAACATAATAAGATAACCAGCAAAATTTGAATGGGGCCTGTGGATTAAATGGTAATATTGGATCAATATTAATTTCCTGAGTTTGATGGCTGTACGGTGATTCTACGGGACAGCATCCTTGTACTTATGATATATAGATCAAAGTATTAAGGGCAGATAACGGAGTATCATGTCTGTATCTTATCCTTAAATGTTTCAGAGTGTTAAAAATGAGGGAATCTGCTAAAGAGTATATTGGATCTCTGTGTACTATTTCTGTAATTTTTATGTAAATTTACAATTACTTCAAAATAAAATGTTACGAACATATAGACCTTACCACATTCACTCCAGGAAAGATGACTTAAATATAAGGTACTTACCAGACTACTTACCTACTTTAATACACTGGAACCTTCTTACAAAACAATATTTAATATGAGTCTAACCTGGGTCTCACCCCATAGAGTTTAGGTACTAAAATTCACACTGTTTCCACTTTTCAACTGGTTCACATTTTGTCAGGTCCCTAACAGAGAACTTAAACTGCTTCTAGTCATTCCCTTGACAATCTCCCCCAATTGCCACATAAACCAAAAGAAGAGGTCACAAACAGTAACCTTGCTATCTCAAGAGTACTACTAAAAAGATCTCACCCTAAGCAGTTTCACCTACAAAATGGTTCCCCAAAAGTTTCTAAGGACAGCGAAGGCAAAGCAGCTCTATAATTGACATTTTTAAATTGTATTTTAACATAAAAAGTCCCTGAACTTTAGAAGTGTTTAAAACACTTGAAGTTGGCCGGGCGCGGTGGCTCAAGCCTGTAATCCCAGCACTTTGGGAGGCCGAGACGGGCGGATCACGAGGTCAGGAGATCGAGACCATCCTGGCTAACACGGTGAAAACCGTCTCTACTAAAAAAGTACAAAAAACTAGCCAGGCGAGGTGGCAGGCGCCTGTAGTCCCAGCTACTCGGGAGGCTGAGGCAGGAGAATGGCTTAAACCCGGGAGGCGGAGCTTGCAGTGAGCTGAGATCTCGCCACTGCACGCCAGCCTGGGCGACAGAGCGAGACTCCATCTCAAAAATAAAATAAAATAAAATAAAACACTTGAAGTTAACATGAAACAGTGAGAAAAACACTGAATGGGAATCAAACTACAATCTTAACTTCCATCACCCAACTGATTATTAATAGAAATGACACCAATGGCTCCTATTTCCCACTTTCTAAATGAAGCTTAATAACCTATCAAAGTTATCTCCTAAAAATAAGCAGTATGTGAAGTACTTCAAGCTTCTTAGAGGGAAATGAAAAATGAAATGAAGATATAATAGAACTGTAGCAACATTTGGAAAATAAATCTTCCACACAGCTAAGGATTTGCCCTATTAACAAGTTTATTTTTTAATTTTGGATGGAAATTTTTCTAAACAATATTACCTCCTTCAACACATTAAACAGGATATACTGATTAGCCATTTCTTCATCACTTAGATCATTGTTATAAATATGAATTGTTGAACTATGGATATACAAGGATGTCCTAAGCATCTAACCAAGATCCAGTTACCTGAGAGCTGTCCCAGACAATGAGAAATGCCATATTATGGATGTATATATAAGAGCTTTATGTGGCAATAGGGCCAATAACCTCTCATTCATTCTAACATTTATGCAGTGCCTACTATGTGCCAGGCACTGTTCCAGACACTGAAGATGGGTACTGACTTGAATTTAGTCAAGAGAGACAGATGTATGAGAAACAAGCACATGGGGTATTAGGATTGTTGTGCGTTAGTACCACGGACCTGTGCCCCTGAGGCACAAAGGAAGTGATTCTCTGGTGAGACTGCAGTAAAGAACATTACTGCACTTCAGCTCCTCACCTTCTCACTACAGCCTGAGGCTCTGTGTTTATCCTCCTCAAAGTCAGAGAAGCCTATGTAAATTAGGCTTGAGATTTTCCCAAGAAAATCTTGTTTTGACACTGTCCTCCAGGCTAGAGTGCAGTGAAGCGATCTTGGCTCACTGCAACCTCCACCTCCCAGGCTGAAGCGATCCTCCCACGTCAGCCTCTGGAGAAGCTGGGACCACAAGCGCGGGACACAAGGCCCAGTTAATTTTTGTATTTTTTTGTAGGGATGGGGGTTCACCATGTTGGCCAGCCTGGTCTCAGACAGCTAGGCTCAAGCAATCCGCCTATCTCAGCCTTCTAAAGTGCGGAGATTACAGGTGTGAGCCACTGCGGCTGGCCCACAATTTTTAAAAAGTGATTATAAACAAAACACTGAAATGCATGTATTTTGTTGTGTTATGCTACTTTTCTCTAAAATGGAATTTTTTAAAAAAAGGTTTTACTTGCATAATCAACTTCAAGGTAGTTGAGTTATTCGAGTATTTTTGATAAGTCCTTGAGACCAAGTACTTCGAGACCTTACCCCACTCTTTCAAATGAGATGCAGAAGGGCATCGGGGCTTAAGCCACTGGTGTCAGCAGTCAGGCCTAGATTCCCAGGGGCCCCTGCCGCATGAACCAGGTGACCTGATTTATCCAACCCACCTCCACAAATGATTAAGGAGCGACACCCAAGTGCTAGGCCTTCCCAACAAACAAAACACTTCAGGGTTCTGACTTTATGAGGCTATTCTTGTGAACCTCTGGCAAATTATCTACTCACTATAAAAACCTCGTTTCCTTGTATGTTAAATGAGATAATAATGACTTCCACTCACTGTGCCCTTACTATATGCCAGGCATTGTTCTAAATTCTTTATTACTCACAACCTTAAATGATAGGTCTACATTTGTCCGTCGCAACTTGTAACGAAGACTAATTACTCGTAATCTACTTTGCATAATGCCAGGCACACAGAAAAAACTCAAAGTTGGCTACCGTTGTCATTAAAATTAATAGACGTTCTGTGAATAAAAAAGGTTATTCATGCAAAAACGCTGAATTCGGTTAAAATTAAGGTTCGGATAAGGCGACAAGCGTGGGCAGTCGAAGGAATTTTGCCATAATTTTGTGACCCATGTGAATGTTCCTGTGGGCTCGCTGCCTCCGCACACCCACACCCGGCGCCCACTAGAACGCACACCCAGAAGGGCACGAGGAAGGCGCCGGTCCGCTCTCTCAAACGTCAGGTCGGACGCGAGGCGCAGCCGCTCCCGCCCCGGGACCCCGCTTCCTGACCACCCCCGCCCTCCCCGGGAAGGTCGCGTTCGCTCACCGCAGCAGCTCCAGGCAGTAGTGGTCAGTGCCCCAGGTGCCCGGTCCGCTGGCCGCAGCCACGCTCCGCCCAGACACCTCCGGCCCGGGCAGCCGCCGCACGCGCGCATACAGACCCAGAGGCGGCCGGCGGCAGCACAGGCCGGGGATGCCAAGCCGCAACGGTCCCCAGGCAGAGCCTTGCGCGGAGGCCGCCATTACGCCGGCACTGCGTGCCCTTCGACCTCACGCAGTCGGCGCGCAGCTACGCCCCCGCGACGCCCCTGCAGGTCCCCTTAAGCTCCTTTGAGTCGCTGGAAGGCCGCCTCCGGAAGCCGCTTGAAGAAGAGCCAGGTGTCGCTGTGGTCCTCTGCATCTGGGCCGCCGCTGCGACTCTTTGGCCCTCGTTCCAGGAAAGACCCGCCCAAGTCCGTCCGACCCCTCCTGGACTCTTCTCCTTCCCCCACGTGTATCCACAAGCGACCTCAGAGCACCTACAAGAAGGTGCTGCTGGTGAAAGAAGTAGCTGTCAGAATCACGCCCCACCTCCCCTATACCCTAAATCCACCATGAGGACAGAACACCTTGCATCGTTTCTCAACAGCTGCGCCCTTGGCACTTTGGGCGCAATAGCGCTGTCCCGCACGTTGCTGAAAGTTTGCCATACGTGAATGCCCAGGCTTGGTGACCACCAAACGCCCACACGCCCCCAAAGGCCTCTGGAAATGTCGCCCTGTTTGGGAACCACTGGCCACCTAACACCTCCAGGAGAAAAGCACACACATCTCTGAGAGAAGCCACACAGTAGGCCATTATCAACCACTACCTATAGCTCACCTGTTTGCTGACTTTTTTCTCCCACTATCCTCTGGGTTCCATATGGGCAGAGCCATTATTTTGTTTCCTGCTTTACCCACAATGGCTGTCACTTGAAAATTGTGGAAGCTGAAGTGCCTCAGTTCACATAAATAGTAAGTAGTCAGGTAAGATCCAAACATTCCAAATATCTGTGTTATTCCACAGTCTTATTTGGACAGGGAAGGGAAGTGAGGAAGGCCATAGGCCAGAGCCTGCTTTTCTGGGGCTCCAAGGTCCAGCATGGAACTCCAAGGAGTCAAAATTCTCAACGTAAACCTGACCTTTCAGGTCCTTAGGAAGATGTATTTATCAAGGCAGGAAAACAGAGCTTTTGACAGTTTACTAGCTTGATTTATAACTTTTTTTTTTTTTTTTTTTTGAGACAGAGTCTCACCCTCTCCAGGCTGGAGTGCAGTGGCGAGATCTCGGCGCACTGCAACTTCCACCTCCCGGGTTCATGCGATTCTCCCGCCTTAGCCTCCAGAGTAGCTGGGACTACAGGCGCACGCCACCACATCCAGCTAATTTTTGTATTTTTACTAGAGATGAGGTTTCACCATGTTGGCCAGGATGGTCTCGATCTCCTGAGCTCGTGATCCACCCACCTCAGACTCCCATAGCGCTGGGATTAACTTTGAATATTTGTTCGCATGGTATGTTGGCCTCCTTTGGTACTCTTACCTTCAGGCCCCTCAAATATTAGAGGTGGGTCTAGCTGCTACCAACTAGCTGATCCCAGCCAGCAGTTGCCTACACTTGAATCCCAGTGACACCTCTTGCCCCCAGATTTGCCTAGACTTTTCTTGCTGTGGCCAGACTGGTTCTTTCTAAAATGTCCATCTGATCATGGCGTTTCCCTACTTGGCAGCATTTACTGTGTGTTGTATGCAGTCCCTCCATGACGTGGCCTCAGTTTACCTTTCTGCCGCAACTCTAGCCACTTGCCTTTGTGACTCCAAGTTAATGTTTGTTTAAACCCAAGGGAAAGCACCTTGTCCTCTGGACCTAAGAACTCTAACCAATTCATGCAACTTTGGTTTTTACTTTCTGAGATTACCTCTCTTCATCCTGTGTAGTAGCAGAACCCCGGTGGCAGGTCCTTTCATCACCAGTGATTGGTTCAGGACAGTGCATATTTCCCTGATCTGGCCAATCAGACTTGAGAACAAGTCTACTGTGGTGCTTCTGAGAAAGTTGCTTCACTAATAAAAGGAAACATAAAATTCAATATACTACATGTGAAATATTCTTGCCAAAAAGGATTAACATCAAGTTAATTAAGCTTCTAAATCTAATTTTAAAGTTTCTAAGAAAAAGACAAGAAACAAGATAAATGATACCACGGGGAAACAAATCAGAAAAATTCGAAAGAAAAACCCAGTATCACTCCTGAGATCAGGTTATAACAGGTCTGCACCTTCCATATTTCATCTTGGGTTCTCTCTCTCTCTCTCTCTCTCTCTCACATCACTAACTCTGTGGGAAGCTAGCTGCCGTGACACATGAGGGAGATTAGTCCTTTGTCTGTAATATAGATCATTATTATTTTCCCCAGTTTCGTTTAGTTTTGTCTTTGCTTGTGGAATCTTTGCTATGCAGAAATTTTGCAATATATTTTTATGTAGTCAAATTTACAATATTTACTTTTATGGCTTCTGGATTTTGCACAGTCTTTGGAAAGGCCTTCCCCATTTAAAATGTGTTAAAAGAATCCCTTGCTTTCTTCTAGTCCTTCTGGTTTCTCTTGTAGTACTTGTAGATTTCGCTTTTTTACATTTCTTTCATTTTTTTGTTTTTGGAGGGGTAAATATTAGGAAGATATGGATCCAACTTTTTTCTTTATATCTAGTAGTTGTCTTACTATCATTTATTCAGTATTCCACCTTTTCCTCCTTTGATTTGAGATGCTTCCTTTTTCACAGAATAAACTCATGCATATATTTTGTGTCTATAGTGTTCCATTTGTCTATTAACGTTCTAGTAGTAAGCTCTTTTAACTATTGCGTCTTTACAATATGTTTTCATAGATATCTAATAGGGCTAGTCCTTTTTCATTACTCTTTTTCTCTTCCCCGGTCTTCCTGGCCATTCTTGTTTATTTTCCCATTCGACTTTTAGGATCAGCTTTTCGATTAAAAGAATTCTGAAGGTAGTTTTATTACAGCTATGTTAAATTTATACCTAGGAAAACTGGTATTTTTATTATATTGAACCTTCATCAACATTTTTTATTACAGCATTATAGTTAATCTTATTGATATATGTAACACATTAACTATGCCCTTATTCAATCCTTGTATTTTCCACAGTTAAATAAATTTAGATGAACCACTATTAAAAAGGAAAAACAATTTTTCTATACTTATGCAACACTTCTGACACTAAATGTATAGATCTTCCACACCAAGCATTTTCAGGACTAAACAGTTAGGACAGAATCCACAGGTTCAGAGCTCAGCCTCACAAGGCTGCCCCCTACTTTGGACACCAGTAGCAATTAGTGAGTCCTCAGATTACCCATGCTTTTGTTTGACTTGGCTACAAATCAGGAATTTTCAGGACCTTCCTCCTCAGGTTTGATAATTTGCTATGATGGCTCCCAGATATCAGGGAAACACATATATATATATTTTCTGGTTTATTATAAAGGATATAGATGAAGGTCAAAGAACAAATATAACACATTTATAACAAAAGATGCTTCTCTCACCCCTATCAGTCAGGAAATTATAAGGCTTTTAGGAGCTCTAGGTTAGGAACCAGGGGTAGAGACCAAATATATATATTTCTTACTGTTACAATTATGGTTAAATTTTTGCTCATATCTGTGATTATTACCTTATAATATATTCCTAGAAATAGAATCACTAATCAAAACTGAATCTTTGAGATATCTGGCATTGACAAATTTCTTACCAAATAAATTATATACACCCACAAACTGTGGATAAAATACTAGATTTATTAAATTTTTAAAAATAGCCTTGCTACTCTAAGAGGCAAAAAGTGATATCTCACTTTTCTTCTTTTTTTTCTTTCACTAGTTTAAACTTGTCACTAGATATATCACTTTTAATTTGTACTTATTTGACTATTAATGAGACATTTTTTATTTATTACATGTTTGTACTCAGTTTTGAGCATTTTGTTAACATCTTTACCCATTTTTTAAAGTTAAAAACTTAGTCATTTATTTCAAAGTATAAATTTTTTCTTACCCATTTTTATTTTAATGGTCTTTTCCTTTTGATCTGTATGAGCTTCTGTATATTAAGGCTATTAAGTCTCTTGTCATATTTGTGTCAAATAATCAGTGCGCTTATTTTTAATTGTTTATAACAATGTTTCATTGTATGTATTTTTATTTTAAAAGATGCACATAGTCGATGAATAAATTAAATAATACAGAAGCATGTATAATAAAAAGTAAAAGTTCTCTCTTCCCTTGCCCCTTGTTCCTACTGGTAAGAAATATATGTGGTGATGTTTTAGACTTTTTTTTTTTTTTTTTTTTCTGAGATGGTGTCTTGCTCTGTTGCCCAGGCTGGAGCGCAGTGGCGCGATCTCAGCTCACTGCAACCTCCGCCTCCCAGGTTCACGCCATTCTCCTGCCTCAGCCTCCTGAGTAGCTGGGACTACAGGCGCCGGCCACCACACCCGGCTAATTTTTTGTATTTTAGTAGAGACGGGTTTTCACAGTGTTAGCCAGGATGGTCTCGATCTCCTGACTTCGTGATCTGCCTGCCTCGGCCTCCCAAAGTGCTGGGATTACAGGCGTGAGCCACTGCACCAGGCCTTGACTTCCAAAATTTTCAGCTTTTTATGTTGTCAAATCTATAGAACTTTTTCTTTGTTAATATCTATTGTTTGTTTATGTTTACAAAGACCTTTCCCATACAGAATTGGGGTATTGGGGAGCCAACGTGAATATGGAGAAACTAGCAGGTAGGCTATTCAGGTTGTCCAGGCAAGAGATTCTTGAGGCTTCGACTGGGATGAGGGCAGTGGAGATATAAAGAGGTAGATGGATCAGTATATAACTTAGAGGTTGGCTTGCTGATTGATTGATTGATTGATTGGTTGGTTGATTGATGGGGGAGGAAGGAAATAAAAGGGAGAAATAAATGATGGTTTCTAAATTTTTGACATAAGCAACTGGGGAATGGGGAATCTTTTCCTGAGCTGAGGAATGTGAAGGCTTTAAGGGTGAATGAGGATAGTTTGATGCGTGATACTTTCCTGGATGGTCTTTGTTGATACATGACTCTCTTTAGCAGGTCCCCTAAATACAGGGTGACACTTCTTCAACTCTTTGCTGCTGCTCTTGATCTTTATTCTTTGACCTGCTCTGTTCTTTTGAGTTTACAGAGTGTTCTTGAGT